ATGGAATTTTTAAATACAGCCCAAAAGGGAAAGTGTAGGGAACTTTTATATACGGAAGAAATGTTATGTCATGCGTTTCTTTCTAGATATGCCACATATGATCACAATACTAACCTGTAAGGTTTGTACATACTTTATACGTAGTATATTCTTAATTAGGACCACTGACTAGCCGATAAATTTCTTAGATCAATATGTTTTCTCAAAATTTATTACGAGACATAGAAAGATAGTTTGGAATTAAAGTCTAAGAGCTCGAATGGTGACCTTGTTTTTCGGTTTATCATGCTTATCAAACAGCTTTTTCACTAAACACGTGACTTTTGATTTCACGCACTAAATTGTGTAATAATAAAAAAAAGTAAGGTTTGAGTTGCTTTTATGCCTGTATTGGCTGAAGTTATTGTAGATGATCATTTTTTCTATTTTTCGTATAATTTTTTCTTTATTTAATTAATAAAGTATATTGTAAATATAATTTTTTCATAAATCAACAGAATCAGCCAAATTGGTTATAATCGGTAGGTCTGCAGCCGTTGAGGGTCTAAATGCCGTTTAAAGGGTAACGAAAGAGGTGCTAAGGGGAAGAAAGTGATGTGAAAGGGCAATGGTGAGAAGGAAATAAAAGAAATGGATACTAAAGAATAACTCAATTCTAAGGAAGTTGAAAGGGGAAGTAACAAAAGAGGAAATCACTCACACATACACTAAGAATGAATAACATACATGGTGTACAATAATTGTGTGCACCAAGAGACGCCAACACTTTTTCTATTACTGCTATACCCCTGACAATATTCACTCTTATAATATTGCAAAGACTTAAATGGTGATAACCACTTCACTAATTGTTGGGTATTGATTCAATAATACCTCAGTGATCTACGAGCTATCGGTTCAATAGTACTCCAATGCTTTTTTCAGCTAAAAAACATAACAATATTAATAAACATTCCATCTTTCTCAAACTCTAAAGCACATAGTATTAAGCTTTTTATGAGTCACTTAATTGGCGGAATCACTTTACTAACTGTACTGTGGGAGTATTGGTTCAATAATACGGCAACGATCTAGGATGGGAAACACGGCTAGGCTTCCGATAGACTACTGGAAGTCTGCCCTTGGGCCAAGAGGTCAGAAGGGTCTGAGGGCACTAGGAGTGGGTTCGGTTCTTGCGGTTCGGTTTTGACCTAAAACCAAATATAGAATCGAAGTAAAAAGTTCGGTTCGGTTCAGTTTTACACTCCAAAACTTGGAACCACGGTTTGATTGGTTCGGTTTGCTTCGGTTCGGTTTGGGTTTTTTCGGTTTTTTACCAAATTTTTTCACTTGATTTAAAATTGATATAATACTTAGAGGGATCAAACATATTATATAAAGAATGCAAGCACAATACAATAACAAATAAAATAAAAATGAGAAGAGATAAATATGTCTTGAATTATATGAGTATGCGAGATAGATAAAACTGTATATATTATTGATTTAATTTGTTTGTGAGTAGTTCGAAAAAAGTTCATGAATATATACGTTATATGTGATATAGTTGAGATGAATACTTATTGTTTTATCAATACAAAATCTTTAAGTTATCTAAAAATAAAAGTTAATTACTACTAATAACTAGTAAACACATATTATCATCATTCAATATAGCTACATTATTACAGACAATGAATGTGTAAATGAATTTATAAACTAAATTAAATTAAACATAATACAAACATTATTTCTCTAACACAAGAAAACCAAAGACTATTGATGATTTAAGATTAATTAGAATTAATATTTAACAATTAACATATAAATTTCATATTTTAAATAGTTCGGTTTGTTCGGTTCGGTTCGGTTCGGTTTCGGTTTCTTAGCGGTTCGGTTTTATTTGGCTGCGGTTCGATTTAATTTGATTCGGTTTTCAGTTTTCGGTTTTTCGGACCCAGCCCTAGAGGGCACAGAGGTTTTGGCATTTGTATTCTAATATAACTAATAAAATAAAGTTTCTTCCTCTGCTTGTGAGCTATCTATGTTGCATAGAAAAGTAAGAAACACAATGAACGTGAAACGTGAAAATGAGAAACACCATCTTTTGGTAGAATAATAACTTTTGAAAGAGTTTCCAAGAAGTATTGGTAGAGTTTCTGAAACGGAAATGTACTCCTCCAGATAAATTCCATGCTTCATAGGTTGTGAGCTAGAATAGAACAAGGAGATATTATAGAGCATTCAACAAATAAATCCTACGTATTATTGTCAATCTTTCAATTTTGTAACTATGTCTGAACGTGATTTTTTAAGAAGCAACAAGATATGACTATTTGTTATCGAAAATGGGAATAATTAACCGATCATACTATAAAATCTTATATCTTATAAAATACAGGAACAAAGTATGCGATTGAGGTATTAACAACCATGACGGCAAGACATCACTTTATTTGATATAACTATTTTAACAAAAGCACCTCTTCAAGTTATGTAGGAAGAGATGTTTAGAAAATAGTTTCCCATCCGAATATGCTTTTACTATCCTTTTGGTGACTCTTAAATGTGTCATTGTAACACACTCAACACTCATACGATGTATTATAAAAGAATTAAGATCTATACGACACTTAAAATTGGGCATTATACTCTCGCGCATCGCGCGATAAATTAACTAGTGTTTCTAATATGCATTGTATCAAAAGTGATACGACTACAAACAAATACTCAAAAAAAACTATTGGGGACTTTTCTTTCTTTTATCTACCATTTTATATGAGATAGATTCTATGGTACGCATAAGGTATCATACCTTTGCCTACATGGACCAATCAGAATGATGCAGTTGAATTATTTAAATCTAAATTAAAAAGGATATAATGATTTGGATCAATCAAATGCATGATAGGTACGGTACCCCATTTTTTTAATGGGTACCGGAGTTGTCACCTCTATATTATATGATTATACAAGTCATCTGGTACTGAAACACATTCCCATCACTATGTTATTTAATTAATGAGTGATCACCGAATAATCACATTACTTGTGGGTCTTAGACTTGGTATACCATCTGAGTTCGATCAAAAAACGAGTTACTGGGCACTATCAGCCGTCTGGTATGTGAGTTAACAACTTATTGTTTGTTACATTCACAACTAATGAGGATAAACACACTAATTTTAAGTTAATTCTACTTGTATTAGTTACCACCTATGAAAGACGGATACTTCCCTAGAGTAGCGTATCGGCGTATGATACGTTCTCGTATCCGATACTCTAGGATACCCGTACCGTACGTTCCCGGACCGTATCTGCAATTTTTAAAAGTTTCCATTTTTTTTTTTGTAATTTTTTGAAAGTTTCCGCGGATACTTGTATCCTGACGGATACCCGTATCAACTTTAAAAAAAAAATCCCAAAATTTACTTAATAAAATTCTTAAAAAAAAATGAAAATCTAAAACTACATTTTACTTGGTAATCAAATAATGGGCCTATATGGCTATATCCGAATTAATTAAGTCATTAACCCATACTCGGAATTGGGTACTTGCACTTTTAATTTCAAGAATATAGTTGTTTGACTTATTTCTCATTTTAAATTAATGACTTATTGACTACATTTATATTTCGAGATGCACTAGTGTATATGAGAAATATTATGAATTTATTACTAAGTATCTTGAAAAAGGAAAATGCTTCAATGCAATGAATGGGTAGACATCATAGGATATTATGTGTGTGTGTGTGTGTGTGTATATATATATATATCACAAAAATCTATTTTTAATATTTATATATAGACCCCTATAACTTTTAATATTTGTAAATACACCCCCATAACTTTTAATATTTATAAATATGACCCCGTATCCGTATCCTATTTTTTTTTTGTTTTGACGTATCCTCGTACCCATTTCCGCGTTTTCGCGTTTCCGCGTACCGTTATCGGTGCTACATAGGTTACCACACATTTGAACACAGTGGCATAACTAGGGGATAAAGTTGGCTGAACTGATAAAACGAATATTTTTTGTTTTGGCATAAAATTTCTAGAAAATCAGTGTATTTTTCAAAATTTAGATTGAGTCGGAACCTAGCATGCCTCCTAACCTAAACCGTCGTATGAAGCCTGGAGCCGGTCCACACTACTCTAGTTCAATTTGGGATCACCTACATTTTTGAATTAGGATGTTTTATTTGGATTGAAATTTGATGGTCTAGTCTGGTCTAGCAAATGTCTAATTTCTGTGTATTTTATAAATATCCGAGTCTGGTCTGGTCTACTGTGAGAGGAAATGTCATGGAAGGATATGCCAGAGGTTCCACATCACAACTTCAGAGTATTGGGAATTTGGGGTGTACAGCCCAAAGAATTATTACTATAATTCAGACTACGGGAAATTATTATTATTATTATTATTATTATTATTATTACTGTTTTTTTAAAGGATTATTACTATTATCATAATAATTATTATTATAATTCACCCTAGTTCTGGCTTTGTGGGGGTAACGAGTAGATGGATATTTCATAGCAGTCATAGTGCATATTTCATTTCCATGCACAAGAATATCTCACGACTTGTGATCTATGAAGTTAGAGATTTCATTTCGTTTATAAGCATTTCAACTAAGACAGTGTGTTTCAGTAATTCAGTCGAAACACTACTGCCCAAAGAAAGCAAAGCCTTATCCTTATTTGCATAGAGAGAGATATTCTTTCAAAGGTCTGGATCAGTGATCATACGAATAAGCAGACATTTGATCACTCGTGCATCAATGTGTGTAAGAAACTCACTACCTTTACCTTGGGGTGAACCAGGGTTTGTTTTCCTTGAGTTTTGGGCTGTGTCTAAGAAACTCACTCATATAGCCTTGGCTTTGAGGAGGGACAAGGGAGAACAAAGGATGGTGAGAGAAGACCCTGGAGTAAAAAAGAAAAAAAGAAAAAGGAAAAAAAATCATGTACTAGTGTACAACTTAAAAAAAAAAGGATGGTGAGAGAAGGGACGACACGGCGAAACCAACAACATCGAAGCCTTAGTCTCACAAGGGACATGATAGAGAAATTTAAATATTACCTCCAGTTGGCTTTTTAACTACCTAGGCTGAGTCCTCATGGAAGTTCAGGCACTCATTTATCACAGCAGAATAAATACAAGTAATTGACCATTCAATAAATTAAAACAAATATAAAATATGTGAAACCCTCTTTCCAGTATGTTGTGTCCCCCTAACAACCGACGAACTATGCTTTCTTTATCGCATATACTACATATATTTTAGCAATGTAACCTGGGAACCAACTAAAAGCAGAGTCTCTTCAGGTCGACTCCACACCCCTCTTTCAAGTCTCAACAGAGAACTTTGAGATCAACTTATCAACATGAATAACAATATCATCGATTCTGGGACGAACTGTTGCTTGAGGCTGAAGCATCCATTTCACAAATTGGTGAAGGGCGTCCGGATATTTAGGATCAGAAGGCCCTGTTGGCCACTTCACCTGAACATTTACAATGGCCAACTGTAGACTTCCACCAGACTCCCCAAGTGCATACTCAAAGGGAGACACTCCATACCTGTAATAGATAAGAGCCACAAGGTTAAGCAACAACTCTTTTGTATCTCTGTTCTCATCACATACTGAACTGAAAGATATGTGATTAAAAATGATTCAACTAAAACAAAAGACTAGGTGGGCTTACATTATTGCGTATAAAGTACACCCCAATGACCAGATATCAGTTCTCTCATCAATATCAGCATGGCTTGGGCAATCCCATAATTCAGGAGCTCTGTAAGGTGCTGAAACATGCTCAGATGCCCATTCCTCCAAAACCAACACCCAGAAAATAATTGAAGCAGTTCAGAAAACATATAAAGCTAAATGATTACCAATGGTATAATGTGACATGCCAACTTGTATGACATTGAGTTATTGAACAACCAGGAAATTATGCTCTGTATTCAAGTATTGACACCATAGATGTAATATTATAGACAAGTAATAGAAGTACCTGCAGTTGTAAAGCCTCTGAGCGAGACCGTATTTGCTTCCTTGCCGGACGGGCACTTCCGAAGTCCATTAATATAGCAAGAGGTGGCTGCCCTTTTCTATGTGTCAATAGGACATTGCCAGGTTTTACATCATTATGGGCATATGGTGGTTCAAAATTGTGCATATGCCTGAGTCCTGCACAGAGCTGCATGCAAACTCTTCTTTCAACATGGCACATACAAGGATATAACCAACTTAACTCCTCCAGATTTTATTTTAATAATAATAATTATAATGGGAAGTAACTATTTTGGTTACTCAGTCCTTATTTGTGATCGAGTTAGCTATATGTTTTATTCATGCTCAATGCGTGAAGGAAGGATTAATGTAACTACTTCAATTATATTTACACCAACAACATCATCCAAGCCTTAGTCCCAAAATATTTACTTCAATTATATTTAAAAGGGAAATTTAAGCCTTGGATACCTCAAGGACTAAGTCAACACCAATAGAATAACTAAGGAAACAAATTGCAATTTACCCTAATAATAGTACTCCCTATGTACCGTTTATAAGCCTCGTTTTCCTTTTATAAGCCTTTTTCCAACAAGGGTACAACTATGTCAACTGTCCTTTTATGGACTTCACTAACTTTTTACTTCTTCCAACTTATCCTTTATTGATTTAAAATTTTAACCTATTAACACAAGTGCTCACAAAAATTAACCAGATATTTAAGGGTAAATTAGGATAACAATGAAATATGATTTGTTTCCATAATAGTCGTGTAAAAAGCAAGTGTGACCCATACAATTGGATGGAGGAAGTATGTAATAGGCTAGTATAATCAATATCATCAACTCATGGTGTGTAATATGTTGACCTGACGAAATATTTGAAGAACGTCTGAGGTGGAAAAGGACTCCTTCTTTGCTTTCATAGTTGTGGCATTGTCCAGCAAGGTTCCATCCAAGTGGACAGGAAATAATAAGTATGCTTCATGCTTCCAAGACTGGCCTTCGGAAGCCTAAGTGAAACATAATACGTTATTATTTCATTAAAGCAGAATGACAATAGAACACATATTGTACAAAAAGCAAATGGAGATCGAGTCCATGCACATGCTTCTTAAATATTGTATGTGTCATGTTAAAATATATCGGTATTGAACATATAAAAGTTCTACAGAGATTTTACCTTGACAGCTATAATAGCATGATCAAGAAGAGGAAGCAGATTGGGATGGCTAAACAGTGATGAGACGCGGATCTCTTCCTTCACCAAATCCAACTGTTCACTATTTTGAATGAGAACCTTCTTCATTGCATAGGTACCATTGTCTACTCAACAGAAAAAGTAAACAAAAAAAGATATTTAGAAGAAGATAGTATTGCTGCTATCTGAACGTTCATTAGTAACACCATAAACATCAAAGATTTCAAAGGTGACAATTGCAGTACAAGATGGAATACCACATAAAGCATTGCAGCCAATTTCATTATATCAACTATCAAGATTGAATACTTTTCACTTTTCACGATCTGAGAGAAACATATCCATATAAGCATGGAATTTATACCAAATTTTAGGATGAAGTTGTCAAATTCATCATTTCATTTACGTGTGCTTTAGTCCTCCGAGCAAAAATGAAAGGACAGTGTCACGCCACTATTAGATCTCCCCATCTGACATTGCTCGGATCTAAGCTTAGGGCTATCAACACATACTTTCAGCAACAATTAGAACACTACTCGTGTGATACTACCGAACCTTTTTCTAACTTAATCGAATTGAGACTTATCAGCCAATCAATAACTGAGAAATAATTCAACAGCAGTACAACGAACGCAGCTTAATAACCTTAATCACAAATCCCAAATAAGAATTCAGAAGCAACCCCATCTCCCGGATCAGAAGAAAAAAGAAATGAAAATCAATTAATTTAGCATCGATTTAAACGGGAGATTGGTAGCTAGAATTAGATAACAAAAACCGATGAAAATAAGACGAACCAGAGGCATGAGAAGGGTCCTTGAATTTCTTGGAAACGCCGGGATTGGTCGGATCGGAGAGGATCTCCTTGATGAGGTAGACGTAAGCAAATCCACCCTCGCCGAGCTGGCGAAGGACCCGGAAGCGATTGTCATTGATCCAGACGTCACCTCCGCCATTGACAGCATCGTACAGAGCGTTAAGCCCCGAGATAGAGCATCCCATTCTCTTCCAATCAACGGGCCAGCTCGCTCTAGCTTCTCTATACTAGATCTATAACGGTTCTCTCTCCCTCTGTCTCAGAATTGAAGCTTTGGGGAAGAGCCTGAGGTTTTTGTTTCCTCACGGATCCACGCACGTAGAAGGTACTTTACTCAGCCTCATGATTTTGAGTTTTGACTTGTGTAAAAGTTTGGCACTGTACAGTGTACAACGTCCCTCCCAAATGTAATACCCCCTCTTGACATATATATGTTCCCATTTGAAAAGTAGGTCGATTAATAATAGTGAAAAATGATATAAATTATTGAGGGTATGATGAGAAGATAGTGAAATAATGTGTTGGAATGAAGGATAAATCCAAAAAAAGTAGGTGTAATAGTGTATTATTTTTAAAATTATTGAGGGTATGATTGGAAGATTATGAAATGGGAAAATATGAATGTTACATCCAAAAAAGGAAAGTGGGAAGATATAAATGTTACGGAGGGAGTACTTCAATTCGTTGAGTCTGGTTACTGGTCGTGTTGAGTCGGGTAATTTAATGTTTGAGTTAGATAACTGTAACTGGACAGGTCGGGTAACTGTAACTGAACGGGTCGGGTAACTGTAATGGTATTGGTCGAGTAACTGTAACTGCACGGGTAACTGTAACTTGACAGGTCAGGTAATTGTAACTGGACGGGTCAGGTAACTGTAACTGGACAGGTCAGATAACTGTAACTGGACGTGTCAGGGTAACTATAACTGAATGGGTCGGGTAACTGTAACTGGACGGGTCGGGTAACTGATGAATCGGGTACCTGTAACTGGACGGGTTGGGTAACTGTAACTGACGAATCGGGTAAATGTAACTATCGGGTCATGTATTTGTAACTGGCGAATCGGGTAATTATACGGGTGGGTCATGTAATTGTAACTGACGGGTCATGTAACTGTCACTGGCGAATCGGATAATTGTAACTACATGTAACTGTAACTGACAGCACATAACTATAATTGGTCGGGCCGATAAGTGTAACTGATGGCAAATAATTGCTACTGGTCATATAGGTAACTATAACTATTTGGACGTACAATTGTAACTGATCGGATCAATTAATTACTATCATCAATAAATTTAATTGGAGAGAAGCGTATAAAGTGGCCCACTCGGACTTGCTGACGAGCACTTTGTCATAGTGTGCCTCAAATTAAATTCACTACTAAGGGCTAATATCGTAGTATCGCGTAGTAGAGTTCGTATCCACAGGGAAAGGAGCTTTTCGCGTATGTGTTAGCGTAATAAATAAAAGTAAACGGGAGGGGAATTGGATATTTTGATAATTGAGAAAGCAAATAAAATACTTAAATGAGTCAAATAAAATATCAAAGGTAATTAGTCTTGGTTTTGCTTTTATCCACTTAATGAAATGTTCGTCGATCTTGGTTATATCTTTAACTATCTTCCTCTCGAATACTCAATCGAGAAGTATATTCAGTTCATCGAGGGTAGTTATTAATAACGAGACACGTTCATTAATAAAACTTACTACCGAATTAATATAGAACACGCGCCGTATATTTACTCGATAGTAGCAATAAATTCAAGATGAAAACGATTGAAATTGATAACCTCAACACAAGCGGTTTATTGGTTTAATCAATATAATTAATTCCCCTTAGATTATTAACCATGAGACGCATGCATTAATAATCCAAGTTTACTACCGTGAAAAGATCGAACGATTAACAAGCGTATTCGTCGATCGATTCTAGTAATAATTAATGCTCAAAATATTAAAATGAAATATGAATAGGAATTAATTAATATTCAAGGAAGAATATTAAAAAAGATATAAATCCCACTATAACTAATGTCGAGATGTTAACTAATTGTCATTTTAGTAACACTCCCCAACATTAATATAGATGAAGAAAATAAATACTACTCTAACTAATGTCGAGATGTTAACTAATTGTCATCTTAGTAACACTCCCCAAAATTAATATAGAGATAGTATTAAGGGAAAAATTAATATTCAAGGAAGAAGATTAAAGAAAATAACTCACAACTTACTATTCATTAAGCTTCAAAGTAGCAAAACCAAGATGGAAAGACTACCTAAATTACAAGAATAAAGTGTATATGAAAGAGGGGATTAAATTGGTATTTAAAATAGGAAGGAAAGGGGTGTTTTTATAGGAGAAGTGAGGTGGTTGGGTCTAAGACATAATCTGATTTTCCCATGTTCACTTGCTTTATTTGATCTCTTATGATCTCCGGGTCAAATCATATCCGATTTTTCACATTTCTTTGTTCTCCATGAAGCTTCCTCTTGTCTCCAATGCTCCTTCCTTATGCTCTCAAGCTCCTTCCTCTTCTTTTCATCATGTTTTTGCTTACATATCAAAATGTCTTAATATCTTCTAATTCTACTTTACCTTTAGAAGATAAAGATTACACCGTAATTGTACAAAAGCTAAATAAACATAATGTAAAATCATTCTAAAATGTTGTGTTTATGCACTACTAAATAGTACACCTCACTTGCCCTTACCTGCCTAAAACATTTGCACTGGCCCACTGGGACAGTGGGAAACAAAGAGTGAAATATGGAAAACATTTGCACTGGCCCATTAGTTTACCGAATGTGGCGTATTAATTTATTAGGGAGGGCATATTTGATAATTCCATCCCAAGATCAGGTGGACGGTCTCATTATTGGAAATTATTGAAAGAGTTCTTATATTTGTCCAAGCACTTTTAATTAGTAATATTCATGACCTAACCCCATATAATATTGACTTTTAAGAAATTAAAATTGGAAGTTGCTCGAACATTATTGAGATTCTCAATCTAATTTGCACATCCTCATGAAGAGCTATTTTGTAACCGTATTAAAAATTGTAGGAATTAAATTTGATTAGATTCCAGTAAAAAATATATTTGTTCATTTTGGTTCGGTTAGTTAAGTTCGGTTCGGTTCTTACCTTTTGTGGTTCCTTATAAAAATTTATTATCTTCCTAAAATGAACACATTTCACTATTTCAGTTACATAAAAGAATCAAATTTCAAATCATGAAAATAATTATCGAAATTATGACCATATTATACATACATGATATTCCAATGTTCAAATATCACAAAAATATCCAAGTATAAACATTAAATTTAAACATAACAAAAATATAGAAGTTTAAAATATGCATCAACTGTCAAGCAACAAAATTGTATAGTCCCAAGGCACACAACCTATAGGAGGTAGTTGAAACCCAAAATAATACTACCTCCATCCCATTTTGTGTGTCTTAGTTTAACTTTGACACGATTATTAATGAAGTGATTGAAAAAGTAAATGTTCTGGTTGACGTTTGAGTATAATAAAGTGAAATGGTGTAGACCACATATTTCTTTCCAAAAAAGGAAAGAAGACATTATTTTGGGACAACCCAAAAAGAAAAGTAGGACATGTAAAAAGCACGTAGGAATAAATTGATCCGTAATATTAGTAATTTACTATGAACAAATAACAACGTAATAAATATATAAGTAGACTAAAGTAGTAAAATAACAACTATTTAGATTGGCCTAATGCACAATATATAAGGTATACTATGCCAGATAAATATTCCTACTACAATTTTCTGACATGAACGCCGCCTGGCCACCTCCGTTTGAAGTTTTTCCGAGTAGATTTTTTTGATGAGATTTTTGTGAGTATGTTCTACATGAAGTGTAGGTTACATTTATCAAATTTCAGCTTAAGATTCAATTGAGAAGTGAGTTAAATAAAGTAGTGAAAAACATTGCGTTTATATATATTCATAATGATGTAATGTTTTTCAATAATTTACTTAAAATTTTCCGGATTGAATTTTGAAATGAAATTTGGTGAACATAATCTACACTTCATGAATAACAAGCTCACAAAATTCCATCAAAAAATTCCCCGCAGAAGCACCCCAAATGAAGATTACTCATGAAATGTATAAGAAGTTTGGTTCTTGCCCAGGAACCGGAACCGAATTGGAACCGAACCGGAACTGAAGCGATTAACTACTACATGAACAGAACCAAAAAACAGAAGTCCAAAATTATAAGAACCGACCCGAAAAATCGATTCGGTTTAGATCGGTTTTCCAAGTTTTATGGTTCCAATTCCCAGACGGGATTGTAAATGAATCGAATTGTATATTTGACATTATTATTATTATTATTATTATTATTATTATTATTATTATTATTATTATTATTATTATTATTATTATTATTATTATTCGTTTAAGTCATTTAATATTTGTATTCGCTTCATTTGTTCCATTCAGGTAGATTCGAATCTAATTCGTATATTTGAATTCGAAAAGAATTAATAGTTAAATTTATCGAAGTAATTAAAATTTTAAAGTATAGTTGGTCATTTGTTCCCTTTTTTAATTCATAACACATACGTAGTATATGGTATAATTCAATCAAAATGTGTCTACAAGTATAAGCTGGACTCATTTTGTTTTTAACTTTTTTGAGTTTGTGACTAACACAAGTAGCTGAAGCAATAAGGTTGGTTTAACTTTTGCTTTATGAATTCCTTATTTTCTTGACTGATCTTTTCTTTTACTAACTCTAGGTTAGTTACAGATAAAACATCTACTGAGTTCTCTCATTTTCTACTTTAAATATTATCAAAAGAGAGTTACAGATAAAACATCTACTGAGTTCTCTCAATTTCTACTTAAAATATCATCAAAAGAGAATGGTTGCTCAAAATTGACAAACTGCCAAAAAGCTATCATATATTCATACACATATTGATGTTTGTATATAAGGAGCACTTCACAAAAATGCCAGATTTTGGCTCATCCTCAATGGCAAAAAGGAAGGTATAACTATTGTACTAATTTGAGACTGAATTTGTCTCTTTCATGTATAATAAGAATTATTATAGCTACCCACGTTTCATGCAGAGAAAGGCTTTTGAAATCTATAATCATCAAATATCATGTGCTAAATTTATCTCTCTCTCATTTACCCCTTTGTCCAGTAATAAGAAGCAATTAATGATGAAGTAAGTTGCTTCGTTAGATGATTATGTTATGAGAACAAAGCTGACGATATCGTGTTTTACCAGTGATGCTTTCAGATTTACTATTTTGGAAGAACAGATGCACTATTGGTTTCCTGTTTTTATCTTGGTATTATAGAGACACTAAGTTGTTTTTATTTTGTTAGGTTTTATAGAATTTTGATTCAGATAATTAATAACCACGACTACAAGCATACAAATTCACATTTGCAAATTGACATATTGTCATATACAATTTATGTTATCAGATTAAGTGATATTTTCAAAATTTGTTTTTTCATAATGGATTAAAGATTTGTTATATCATATGTTTCAAAAGCATGTGATACTTTAGAGTGGCCTCTTATTTTAACCTTTTAAACCTGGTGTTTTTAAACCTGGTGTTGGAGTGTAAAGCCAACAAATCTCAGCCAAAGTGACCTCTTATTTTAATCTTTTTAAAGATTCAAACAAATCTTAGTCAATAATTCATCAAACTCTGTGCAGATCTTTTGTCCTGATGGCATGTCGGCATGGTTTCATTTTGTGTGTGTTTCTAGCTACTTGTGCATCTATTATTTCCAAAGGACTAAGCTTCCATGTCAGATTTTCTAAAGCTTTATTATTTCATATGGCCATGCTGAATCCACTTAGCACAAATATTGTCTTTTCAACTCCAATGGGAGCAGACTCTTAAAAGGTAGTACTAATACCTTCTGCCTTATTTGCTTTTCATAAAAAATAGTAAATAAAAAAATAATTCATTTTTTTTGCAGGTTTGAATGGATCATCATCAATCAATAGATAAGAGCATTATCCTTGAGATGATACATAGTTGCTCAATTCATTTTCCTACCTATAATAGGCAAAATCATTGTTAAAGGACTAAAGGAGTCTGTTTAAAAAAAAAAAGGACTAAAGGAGTCATCTTTTTTCACATAGTTGCCATCCATTGTATTATAGTTGCTCAATACATTTTCCTACTTTTGTATCTTCAATTTGCACTTCTACTCATGAAAATTGGTAATTGGGTATGTCACCATTCTTATTAAGAGTTGAAGTTCAAAGCTTAAACATCAACCAGACAAGAGTTGTTAAATTGTGATGAATATTACTACCTCTACCCCCTAAGTTTGGGACAAGAAGGGTGGTGCGATTATTTAAAGAAGCGGAATTGTTTGATATGTATTATGAAATTGGTAAAATGTGAATAAAGTAAGAATGAATTGTAATCACTCCAAAATTAGCAAATATGATATGAGACAAATTTAGTGGGACAAACAAAAAGATTAATGGGACAAAGATAAAGAGACAGGGAGTACTATATACTTCATATTATGTACATAATTAATTATTTAGGTACAAACCAAATAAATAGTCATTGTAAAAATAATCATGCTTTGACTGAATGCAAACCCTATAAAAAGATCTAAAGATGGTCATACTTTGAATCCAAACCCTATATACAGAAACAAAATACATTGCAATTCTAAACTGGTCATTTTAAATAAGAACCCTATAAAAAATTTTAAAGATGGTCATTCATAATCCATGTTTTCTTTCATATCTTACGATATAAGACAAAGTGTATTTTCAAATTACAAAAAATAATAACAATCGTGTTTACTAAAAAGAGTCATAATTATAGCCCGATAAGAATAGGAACCTTGGGAAATACATATAAGGAGAGAAGTTCGTGATACTCGATGATGAGAAAAACAAAGGAAAAAAACTTTAAAGAACGCTGTCTACAAGGTGGTCTTCAATAATTTCTAATGTTTCGTATATTTAACTTTTAATATTTGTATTAGTTACATATTTACGTTTTTTTCCTCATTCGTTTAATACAATAATATAAGGTGTAATTACTTTAGTATATTATAAGTTATCGGAAATCTTCAGGTCCCCACGTTCGGGCAGGAGCCTCCGTCCAAACATGGCCATTTGGGGCCCTTCCCGGTGGAATTTTTTGATGAATTTTTTTTATCATGTTCCTCACCAAGTCTAGTTTGTCTATACCAAATTTCACCTCAGAATTCGATCGGGAAGACATTCAAATCATTTTTTGAAGTTGACTGCGTTTTTATATGTATATTTTGGCGCAGTCAACTTAAAAAAATGATTTGACTGCCTTCCCGATCAAATTTTGAGCTGAAATTTGGTATGGACAAACTAGACTTGATGAGGAACATGCTAAAAACATTTCATCAAAAAATTCCACCGGGAAGTGCCCCAAATAACCATGTTCGGACACTATTCGGACAGAAAGTTGCTGGACAAGATCATTTCTCTATCAGTTATAATATCTTCATATTACATCCCGTGCAACGCACCGGTGAAATACTAGTCAATCAAAATGTGTCTACAAGTCACTTCTTCAGAATAAACATTAATATAAGTACGTCAACAAGAATTATAACATTAATATATATACGTCATGTTTAAAGTCTGGTAATAATTCCTATTTTGGAAATAAAAACATGAGTCCTATTTTGAAATATACAAACACTTTTAGTCCTATTTAGGATAATTTTCCATTTGAATATTGTTCAAATCGAATATAATAGTATGCAACAAACAATGAAGGGCGGGGTGAACATCACCCTCTTTACCTCTTGGTTGAGGCCTGAGGGTAGGGTTATAAATGAATCGAATAATTTTGATTCAATTCGTGATTCAAATTTGAAAGTGATGATTCGTGTTCGAATAAATACATTAGGTATAAGAATACAAATATATTTTTCTATTTGAATAAGAAAACACATACCTATTTCATGCATTAACATTAAGTATTAAATATAATATTTCTGTAGTTCTTAACTCTTAGTTCTAAATAGTTAATGTGCAATGCTAGAATTATTATAATTTTTTTAAGATATTGATGCTAATATATTGTTTTCTAAGTGTTACATGCATTTTGGCTATTTGTTTCATGAGAATGATATTTTGATGACAAGTTGTTTGTTACTTTTATTTGTTATAGCGCCACTTTTTTTAAATGGATTTGAAATATGTATTCATCTAAATTATACCTTAGACACATACTCCCTTCGTCCCGATAAGAAGTTCCCGATTTGACGTACACACATATTAAGGAAATAAACTTACCTGAGGGTAAGTTTTACTGTTTTGACACTGTTTCGACACTGTTTGGTACTGTTTTGCACTGTTTTGATGTAGATAACTTGTCATTTAAGGAAATGAGAACTTCTTTTTGGGACTGCTAAAAAAGGAAAGCGTGAACTTCTTTGCGGGACGGAGGGAGTATATTTTTGTCTAAAAAGAAAATCAATAACATTTTTTAAGTTATTTATTGTCAATAAAAAAATATCTTAACACAAAAGAAAATAATTTTTGTATGCAACCTTTACAATTAAAAGTTTAACTTCCGGCTACACTTTATATGATTCATATGTAAACTTATACAAATTCATTTCTATTTTAAAGAGATATATACACTCTAATTTATTTCTTGGAAGTACATTGTTTCTTCACATTTTTATTAATTGTTGTATTATATTGAAATTAACTATTGTAAAAAAAATAACCATTGTATGATGTTTTTTTTTGTTTTACAAGGATTATTCCTTAAACCAGCAATTTTTTTTTTTGACAAAAACCAAACCGAAATAAACCAAACTATAGTTTCAGATTTTGAAATATAAAAACTAACCGAACAAAAATTCATACATAGTGCTTCATTTTGGCATTTGATTTTAAATCAAAACCGCATCGATTGGATCGAACTCATCCCCAGTTAGTCACTCATTTACACTAGGCTTGGACTCGGGAAGGGTGGCCCGACCCAGAACCGGACCCGGCCAGACACTATTTGGAATTGGCCCGAACCGGTGGCCCGGCCAGGGACCGGTCCAGGTAGGCCCGGCCTGAGGGTTTTACGGTGCGGGCTCGGGTCCGCTAAATATGGAACCGGCCCGGCCCGGCCCGGCCCAATTCGGGCTTTATTTATTTTTCAATATTTTTTTTTAATTTCCCGGGTTGGGCTGGGTATTTTGGGCCATTTGGGGTCGTTTGGGGGGGGTGGGGGGGGGGGGGGGGGTCGGGGGTTAATTAGAAAAAGGGGGAAAAAATAGAAACTGGCCCGAGGCCTGGCCTAACCCGGACCCGGTGGCAACCCGGGCCGGTCCCGGGCCTTCCCCCAACCACAAAAGGCCTGACCGGGCCTAGGCCCGGCCCGGCTCCATGCCTAATTTACACGAGCAGCATCCAAGTATCCAACCATCAAGTTTGGTCTTTTTCTCCTCTTAACTTTCTTGTTTTAAATGTTAATCATGATCTGATTAATAATAATAGCTAAGGTGTGTTATCTAATAAAAAGGGTTAAAAACATCATACGCACTGCGCACAGATAAAAACGTTTTGGTACAGAAAATAACCCTTACCTATCCACTTTAGCTTTTATACCATATTCTCATTACAATTTATCATTTATGCAAAAAAAAGGTATGGGTTGATGTTCTCTTTCTTTTCTAATCTCTAAAGAAATGTCTAAAATTTCAATTTCTTTATAAACGTATTTAAAGAATATGAGAAGCTTAAGGTGTGATCAGCAAAACTGAAAAAACAGGTTATCCAATAATAATCCATTGTTATAATCAATTTTCACACGAAACGACTTTTATTTGGGTAAAGTTTGCTTGCAATTGTTCCAAAGTAATTAATTTAGTTCGGAGGTAACAAACAATAATCCATAACTTTTACTCCGCACGTAGGGAGGTATGAAAGAGGCTGACAAAAAAGGTGACAACTCCGGTACCTTTTAAAGTAATGAGATACCGTACCTACTATTCATTTGATTGGACCACATCACTTTATCATTTTTAATTTAGATTTAAATAATTCAACTGCAACATTCTTATTGGTCCATGTGGACAAAGGTACGGTACCTTATGGGTACCGTAGAATCTACCGACAAAAAAACATATTGAAAACTATTGTCCCTAATAATCCTGAGGGCCTAAACTATTAGGAAAGAGCTGTGGATATAAAACCTTGTTAAATCCAGGCAAACAGGTAGTAAAATACCATACTTGTTATTTGAAGAATCAAATTTTACATTGACATCAATAGACAGGCATTTATTTGTTAAACATCACAATAGAACTTAAGATGTGCGAACTTAGATAAAAATGCAGCAGACCGTACCACATATCACGGAAGCCGTTAACTCTTCTTTCATCAATGTATTAGTAATTCTTATATGAGTAAACAGGCAAACAGAGATTGAACCATTGAGGCTGTCAGCCTTCATGATCACAACAGTGGCTGCTGTTGTGTGATACAATGTATATTCCCGCCCCCCAAGACGATCTCCCTTGCACCTTCTATTCTTACTACCTGTGCCAAACAATTCCATGACAGGTCAGCATTAACTTCAGCAGAAGTATGAACATTCTCACTTATATCAATACTGCACTTGACAAATTATAGTGAGCCAATGGCATAGAAAAATCAGATCAGGCTTCACTTTTCCCTGTTGAGTGTGCCAGAAATAGCGAAAAAGTAATAGTGATTTCTTTTTTTATAAATAGCACTAGGTTGATACAAATAATTTCTTCTAATAATTTTTTGCACAAATTTGTACATGTATAATCAAGATTTTCCCCAAATTTGGGGTCAGTCAGTGTCTAGCATGCCCCCTAACTACAATATTTTTCTTTAATTTATTTCAAATATATACTACGTACTTCCTCCGTTCAGATATAAATGCAACATCATGCTGGGCGCAAGGACTAAGGAATACAGATAAAATAAATGTTATCCGGTTCTACCCTTTGCTGACAACAGATTCGTTTTCTTTTACCCATCTTCTTTTTACTTTCTTCTACACCTCTCGATCTAAAGACAAAATACTCTATCACACCTCTTAATCTAGACCAAATATTACGGTAATTGCTCCATTTCCATTCTAGACTTTCAGTCTCCTAAGACCCTTTTATTCTTCATTCTGATACTTCGTTATTGTCAATTTCTAATTCGTCAATTGCTAATTCGTCAATTTTATCCACAACCGAGTTCATCCGACGTTGGTCTCTCCGAAATTCCAATTTTTTAGAATATCAGCTGGGGAAATCATGAGAAGTGCAGACGGAGTCAACAAATTTAGCTCTAGGATTTTCTACGGCTGTAAAAATAAAAAAATACGGAGTCGTTGGAAAGGAAATGGTAGAAAGAAAGTAATGGAAGAAGACGAAGGATGACCAAAATGTAAGTTGAAACAAAAAAGTGGAAATAAGATTAAAGAATATGGCATGGAGAAAGAAAGGAATGAAAAAAAATGGATGACCATGGAAGAGGAGTCTGGGTGACAGATGGAGACAACTAATTTAAGAAAGAGAAGAAGTAGATGAGAAAGATGAAGGGCTGGCACGACGTAGGATATTTAATTTGGGGGTAAGAATACATTACATGGGTGCAAAGGGTATTCTAGTCTTTAGTGGCTGCCATTTTAACCTAAAAAGGAAATGTTGCATTTATTTAAGAACGGAGGAAGTATATACTTTGAAATAGAAAGGAAGTTTGGCGCACCGGTTAAAGTGTTGTGTGACGGAGATGTCACGGGTTTGAGTCTTGGGAGCAGTCTCTTGTCAAATTTGATGAGGGAAGGGTTGCCCCCCGATACACGGTGTGGGGGGACCCTTCCCCAGCCCCTCGCCTTGAGGGGACGCCATTGTGCACGGCTGCTCCTTTTGTTTACTCCCTCCATCCCATTTATATTGTCCCGTTTTACCTTTTCGGGAAGACCCACTTAAATTGTCCCATACCATATTTGGCAAAGTTTGTGTGGCTCTAAATCATTCTTACTTTATTCTTACTTTATCAATTAATATCAACCACACAAACCCACTTTTCTTAATAACCGTGTCACCCTCTTCCGGGACAATATAAATGGGACGGAGGTAGTATTATATTTTGAGATAATCCAGCACATTCAACAAATATAGCCATTCCAGCCAAATTGCTCACTTACCAAACGGGCTCTTTCCTGATCTATTAGGGGGATTACGATTTGCGATGTTACTTACCTCGTGATTGGGAAATGCAAGTGAGAGAACCCGAACTGCTTCATCATCCCATTTCTTGTCTCCAAATTGAGGAGTGATAATTGCACCGTTTGCGATGTAGAAGTTTACATATGAAGCAGCAAGCCGTGTACCATGAGGCCTTGGTTTAGCATCGCCATCCTGTTTTGATTCAAAGATGCAAATTCCTAATTAGTAATAGGAACAAACAAAAATGAAAAGGAATAAGGGAAAGATTATTCATTTAAGATTTTCAAATAAATATTCAAATTTTAGATCTCCAAGAACTTTTCAACTAATTGGCCTGTTGCATCCGCAAAGATGGGCATCTCAGTCCAGTTTAACGCAACCACACCAAACCAATCCAAATTAACTGAAACCAAAACCGAACGACATGTAATTTGGTTTTAGACCGGTAACCCCCTCCCCCCACATGTAATTTGGTTTTAGCCCTGTAACATCTTCCCCAATCCATATTAAAAAGACCAAGCACAATACAACCCAACATAATACAAACCTAAATTGAACCCGAACTAAGTTGAGCTTTATTTCAATACATAATTTCCTCAACATGATTTAGTGTCCATTCGGCAAGGGTTTTTGACAAATGGCTGATTCTACTGAATTTTCTGAAAGAAAAATTGGTTTGTAAAAGAAATTTCAGCCCAACCAGTAAGTCAAAAGCTGCCTATTCGGCTTATTGTGCAGAATTTCAGATAATCAGAATAAATTTAACTAATGCTAACAAACGGGCCCTTAGTATAACCCGAGCCGAGCCCAAAATGAACCCCCTTACTTGCATATACAGTTGAATCAGCTATTATGAGTTCATGAAAACTGCACAGATGGAGTTCACCACTTCACCTTGTATATACCATTTGCCTCGTCTTCTGTCATGTAGAGAGGATCGGGCACATGGAGTTTTATCACTTGAAATTTTCTACCCTTTGCATCAGTAGAATTTTCGAGTACATTAAGAGCTTCCAAGGATCTTTCATAGTGAGGGTCTGCCTTGTCATCAGTCCAAGACAATAAAACGACCCCAGGCTTCACAAAACAGCTCATGTTATCTATATGACCATTTGTGTCATCATCACCTGCAATAAAACGAAAAACATTTATAAATAAGGGAAGAAATACAAAAGCATATATTTCTTTTGCTGTTTTGTGGTTAATTAGTATAAAAGGCTAGGGTTTCAGGCAATTGAAAACTTTGAATCATCAACCACAACAAGGAAGTAATGTAGAAACAAATCCCTTCAAATGTACTATTGTTGCTCATTTTGTCTGTCTTACCCTCGTATGTGCTGCTTAAATGTGTCAAGCCCATTCTTCTTTTGACATTTATTTTCTGTAATGTTTTTAGACCATTTCTAAAATAGGTTGTGGCCTGGTAGTTCTTTTCACACAGATTCTTAATATATTGTAAATAGTTTGAATCTTGCACTCTTGCCTCTATGAGTAAACCATCCAAAATAAGACGGATGGGGTATTTCTGAGCAGTGGCAGAGCTACCATCATGTTGCTAAATGGTAATGTTTTTTACATGTTAATTAAGCTTACACTGTAAATCTTCTTTAGATTTTTAAATGCTCTTTTGAAACATTTCCTTATGTTTTATGCTTTTATATCTATTTTTGTATTTGGAAAATATAATCCGGTCATCTTGTGATGTGAAAGCATTATGGATGCCTTTTGGGGCCACTTGTAACGAAGGCGCCAAAAGAAAAACTAGGTTTCTAGATATGTCACTGTTTATAAGCCCTTTCAGATCATATCCACAATATCATAGCTAATAGGAGAATATGAAAAGCAAATCACTATACATACTTTGAACTTCTTTTATTTTGCCAAAGAACCTCTTTATCATTAACCATATATGCACCATGAATAATACTCCCTCCGTTTTTTTTTTAATCTTCACAGTTTGACTTCACACAAAATAAGAAAAGAAATTTGACTTTACTGTAGAGTACACTGTTGAGGCACTGTTTGACACTGTTTGACATTGTTTGGCACTGTTTGGCACTGTTTTGATGTAGATTTCTTTACCAAAAAAGGAAATAAGGAAGTGTGAAGTTTATTTTAGACCGTCCCAAAAAGGAAAGTGTGAAGTTTATTAAAAACCGGAGGGAGTAAATTTTAACTGCATCCATCCAATACTACTCAAACAAATTCTAAAAAGGTGAAGCATTGCATTAGAACAGATAGAAAACATACCAAATAACCCACGAGGTAACCAAATGACCTTGCTAACCCCGAGATATTGTTGAAGTTCAGTCTCAATTTCTTCTTTAGACATATCAGGGTTTCTGTTTTTGTTCAATAGACATTCAGCTGTAGTGAGGCAAGTACCTAAAGGAAACACAAATTGATCAAACCCATGAGTTCCTGGTGAAAAAGAAGGCTCCATTCTATAACAAAAAGAATTTTACGGGAAAGAAGAGATGTACCTTCTCCATCTACGTGAATGCTTCCACCTTCAAGAACCATAGTATGAGGGAACCTGGGGAGCCTTTCAATGGACAAAATCTGATATGAACAGTAGAAAACAGTTAGGTTACGTTTGGAACCCGGCAAATACCAAAGATGTGGAAAAAGAATGAAAGTATATGAGAATTTTGAAAAGTGTTTTTTTGGGGTACAAAATTAGTCCAGATTTAATAAAGTTTTGATATTTGTTGAAGCTCAATCCATTTAAATATTTCTGTGATACGAAGACTATGAAATCTAAATTCATGCAGAGTTTTACAAAGTTCTTATCAAATCTGATGTTCCTTCATACTCCGTATTTTCCTATATAAAACCAAACATTACAAAAACCACTTTCTTAGCATTTCTTTCCTTATTTACGAGTTCCAAACATAGACGCAATAAAATCAATAAGGAAACCAAACATGCAGTGTTACAGCTAGGTTGAGCAGGGGTTCTCTTGTTCTTGACATACCTTCCTTGCAACAAGAAGGTCATGACTCCAGTCTGCATAGCATCCATCTTCAACTCCTGAGAATGAATTGACAACTAATGTCATTGTTATGAAATCCTGAAAAAAAAACAATATGACCCAGATCATGCATATAATGATTAAGGATACATGTCATCATGCACCTATAACGTTTAACCGAACACAACGGTTATTGTAAAACCAAAATTTCCAGATTCCGACATTGGCCCTGAGAGAATATCTTCAAAGTGAGCTGTAAACCTATAATACTTTTGGAAGAATATCAGCCAGTTGGACTCTGCTATACTTAGAGGAATACTGAATCCTAAAAAGTATCAGACTGGTTGATATCAACCAAAGAGTGAAACGCCCTACACGAGTAGGGGCTAAAACCTTAGAGATCATATCTTCTTCGACTGTCTGGAATTCAAAAAATGTTAGGGAAAGGAAAACATAATACCATGGAAAAAGTTTTTAAATGTTTTCTTTTTACCATGGAAAATAGTCATATACAAATGAAAACCAAACATGATTAAATTTTACATTTTTAGATATGTTTAAACTTTTTATAATCTTTATATGATATAAAATGATGAAATAGAATGAGTTTGAACAAATATCTAAAATTAATTTATTGAGTGAGAAGCAATTTTGTCTGTCCATGTTTTCTTTCCTTTCAAATTTGCTATAAAAAAAAAACTTCGCCTAGCATTTTCCAAGTTGCACAAAAAACCTTAAGAAAACAATGTTGGGAAAGGCACTACAAAGCATTTAAATTACGTAATATCCACAATCTATACAGACTATGGATAACTGCATTGAAACCACAGTGGTGATTAGCATTACCAAGATATGTGAAGCTATTAAGGCGACACTGCCTTAAGTCTCCCCAAATGACAAGAAAGTAAAAATATAACACCTGGGGAGGCAGGACTCTCCTTAATCTTCATAGCATAATGCATTACCACATAATAAAACAGTTGCATAAAATTTTGAAAGAACGGGAATTAAAAAAAAACTATGACAGGAATGCAAGTGCAACTTTGAAGGCATACCTCCCCAGCTATTGAAGGTCCAGTCAATCCCTGCAACACTTGGCTCAAGACTTTGAGATGTTTCTGTATATTTTCTAACAACAAACTGCAATTGGTTGAGGTGAATTTTTTAAAATGGTAACTACATACTATAACAGGTAAACAAATGAAAAAATAAAAAATAAAAACTGAGCTTTAAAAGAACGAGATAGAGAGAGAGAGTCACCGTAGGACCGGAATCTCGAAACCAAGAATCATTTAAGCTCATTTCAACAACCCTGATATGTTTTGGTAGCTGATGACGCGCATTGCTCCACTGATCAGATAGTAACCAAATTAGAATTAGGGTAAGTTCATGAGCATTGCTACTTATCACATATGAGGGATTATTTTGATCTCTTTCAAATATAACCTGAGCTGAACTAGCACAAACAGTGACAGGTTCAAATCTAGAGATAGCATGTGCAACACTAACAAATGCATGTTGAGCGTGCACAGCATTGTCCCTCCAGTTATCTGGCCGTTCCTACAACTCAAATAACAAAGGTATCAATCAATGCATAGGGTAGAAAAATAAATATCAGTATGAGGAACAGGAGTATTTGTGTGTTTTCTCGGCTGGACTAAAGCTACACTAGCCAGTGCATTAGGGAAGCAACCTTCTAGCAGGATTGGATTTGAATTTGGATTTGGATCAGCTCAAGATGCATACAGGACTAATGGGCCAAGGGCGGTGGCATTTGACATCCAAACAAGCAACTAAGCTAATGACTTATGGAATTTAAGATTGGGTTGTGTTCACTCAAGTTGACTGTAACGAAAATTGGGTTAAACCAAGTTAAAAGATTGAATCGAATCGATTAACTGGTCTAATACAAGACCTTATTAACCCATATGTCTCTTAAATATTCCGTGTGGGGCTCTTAATGCTAAATAAATGTCAGCTTACGAATTTCATAAACATTAGTTGACAATAAGTAACAGATTTCAGTAGTTGGCACTTGGCAGGCATTCGCTTTGCTGGACCTATACATTCAACTTTGTCTAAAAGAAAGTAGGCCAAAATCTCACTGAAAGAATAAAACATCATCCTTGTTGAGTTCCTGCCATCCGTAATACATAAACTCCCAGAAGATCCGGAAGCATAAGGGTCAGTCAGTTTGAATGGAGAAAATTGGAAAACTAGTTAGTACTCTGTACTCTGGACTCCCAATAGTTATATTTACCCAGCTAGGCTCTTCAGATCCAAAGAGGCACTAACCCAGAATTCATTATCAGGAAAATCGATCTAACCAAAACATCAGAACAAACCTGACATGCGGCACGAAATACAATTCCAGGATAATTGAAGTAAACAAAGAAAGAAGAGTTATAAGAGTATTTACTGGCCAGCCGATCCAGCACTGGGAATGCGGTTCCCACTCAGCTGGCATGTGGTAGCCATGGTCAACAGGCTTTCCCTTCAAGTCCATACGGGCTTATAGATCTTTTTGATAAAATGGAAATCTGCTCAATTCCTGTATACGGAAAAGAGGTCTATTTGTACTACGAGTATGTTGACTGGTATGTACGAGGAGGCCATTAATGATTGATTGGCCATGCAACAAGGTGGTGACCCGGTGTCCCGGTCCAGTTTTTTTACTCATTCGGTCATTCCTCATTGGGAAAAGGGGCAAAAACACCCCTAGAGTTGTCACCAAAGGACATCTACACCCTTAAACTTTTCTTTTGGGTAAAAATCTTTAAAAATCATGAAAGGAGGGCAAATGCCCCCTTTATTTAACGGTGAACTCATTTACTCCGTAAAAGGTTTGCAGCCGTTAATGTTTCCCTTTGAATGGTCAATTGCGTATTTTAATTTTATTTATTAAACCAATTTTGTAAATTAGTTGGAATATATAAAATATAAATAATATGATTAGATATAAAAGTAAATTCACGATCAAAAATAAATAAAAGTAAATTATAAAAAGGTAATGAAATAACGATTAACAAAAAAGTACTTCCTCGCTAAAATTGTCTTATTTTTCCTTTTGAATCCGCCCCATTAAGATTGTCTCATACCAAATTTAGTACAATATATTTCTAAATTATTCTTGTTTTGCTTTATTCTTACTTTATCAAACTATTTTTTCTTATATTTTGATACTGAAAGGGGTACACCAGAAAGGCGTGGATGTAGTAATATAAAGAAAATGTCAGATGGAAAAGCTAAAATACTTGGCTTTAAAAAAAATTGAGTCAATTTAATTCCAGAAAAGAAACTTCACAATCACTTATTTTGATTATTATACAATTCAGCTAAAATATACTATCTTCGTCCCTTAAAACTTTGTCAAGTTTGACCGGCACGAGGATTAATAAAGTAAAAACTATGTGATTGAGGTTTGTGTAGAGGAGAGGAAATTAACTAGAATCACAATTTTTTACTTGAAAAAGAAAGTGGCAAAGTTAGTGAGACATCCAAAAAAGGAAAATTTTAAGGATGGAGAGACTACTAAAATAGCTTATTTGAAATAGTTTGACAATAATATGACTAAACACGTAACATTTGATTTCGCGCGTTGAGTTGTGTAATAATAAGAAAAAGTAAGGTTAGAGTTACTTTTCTGGCTGTATTGATTGAAGTTACTGTAGATGACTATTTTAACTTTTTTTTCATATAATTTTTTCTTTATTTTATTAATAAAATATATTTTAGATATAATTTATTCACAAATCGGTAGAATCGGCCAATACAGCCACTTTAGCCAGATCTTCATAAATTTCAGCCAATCCAGCCGATTTCAGTGTTACTAAACATACTCTAAGGATGTTTTTACTTGGACTGTAATTTGTCCCAGACCAGACCAATCCAAACCAGACCAGACCAAACCAGACTTGAATAGCTATAAAAATACAAAGAACCCAAACCTTACCAAACCAGACCAGACCAGATCAGATCAGACCAGACCAGCAAATTATAGTCCAAGTAAAAACATCCTAAGTAATAATTTTCTCCACCATATTTTAAAGAGTAATATTAGTGGAATTGTTTCATATTTGTTTTTACATAATCATTATTTCATTACATTATCGTGTTTTATTGGATACTTGTTGAAGTCGTACATCGAAAAATTGTAAAGTAATAAAGTAATATATTAAGATTTGAGCTACTTTTACTATCACATTGATCTTTTAAGATGGAACATATATCTTAATAGTACTTATATATGTAATTGCTTTATTTGTATTTTATAAATTTCAACTAAGTTACAAAATTAGTTAATAATCCAATTAAAATATATTGCGTTTAAGATTCAAAGCAGCCACGTTAACACTTGCTAACTCCGTTGACAACAAGGGGGTGGATTGCCCTCGGTTGATAGATTTTAATGATTTTTGCACTAAAGAGAAGTTTAAGGGCATAGATGCCCTTTAGTGACTACTTCAGGGGTGATTTTGCCCCTTTTCCCTTCCTCATTCCCTCTCACTATCTAGTCTATATCTATCGTAGGTGCATTCGGCCATGTACCTCTCATCTTTAGTTCTTTTCCCCTTCTTTTTTCCTTTTTCTTATGGGCAATTGGCATATTAATTTAATTCAAAATGGCAGTACAATCATGAGAATTGCAAAACATAAAATAATCACCCGACACTAACCTTCCTCTAGACAAATATAATCATAAGCCCACCAGCCATTTCACCTCTTTATCAGACAGAGTAGTCCAGCACAAAAAGAGTGAGACTAATCGTTGAAAATGTGAGAGCTTTAAAGCTATTAGCGGTTGAGTATTGCCTCTCACCAGAAATTCTAGCAACTAAGATAAACCAATCAAAGAAACTATCACCCTTATTATTTGACATAATAAAAACAAAGTAAAGATTAGCAAAGAGACATAGCAAAAATAAATTAACTTCAGCTGGTGGAACCGTGAAATCCATTCTTCAAGCGTTGTCTTCCAGGCCCTAATCACGCAATTCCTTTTTGGCGGCGGTTCAGGAGGGGGACGAGTCATCCACGTACTATCTTCTTCCTCCACCACTTGAGACGACCAAAACAACCGCGCTAATCCCGCAAAAGCCGAATGGAGCCCAAATTCGCCCCCTTTAACCGGGACCCATACCACCAACGTTCCATCCGGATCAAACACAACTTGTGCAGCTCCTATCTCAGTCACCATCAGAGCCAAAATAACCAAACCAAGCATCGGAAATGCGGGTAAGACTTGCACCGTCGCTAAATTGCCAAGCCACGGTAAATCCAACTTACCACTCCAATGGAATCCTCCTCAAGTCTTGTGGTCACTACGGAAACTAAGGGGGGCGTATTGAATATGGATTGTGGTGGATTTTTTTTAATCCAAGAACTTTTTAAAAAGTCTATGGACTTTTAAATCAACAGACTTTTTATAAATGAATTTTATTGACTTTTAAATTCATGGATAAGTTTATAGACTTTTAAAAAGTCCATAGACTTTCAAATCCGGACTGCCACTGCCGTTCATCGAATTTCAGCTAGATCGCTGCTACCAATTTGCCTGTCCGCCTCCGTCACTGGAGTTCGCCGCCAACAAAATGACTTAATTATGCAAGGGAAATATGAGAAATTAATTATATTAGGGGCAGAAATGTACTACATAATATTTTGTCCTATTTAAGGAAAATAAAAAATATGATCATACTTTGGTAAAATGCTACTACGTGTGTTTTAATCCTATTGTGAGTAATTTCCTATGTGTAATATGATAAAAACAATTAAATAAATAAATGAAACAAATGTAATTTATCCAGCAACACATAATTTTACAAGAATAAATGAAGCATAAGAACCCAAATTTATTTTTGTTAAAAAAGAAACTCAAAGTTTCGAGAATGCTCAACAATCTCGATCTATTTATGATCAATTGCTATCTCATTATTACAAAACTCAATGACTATGAGTAAGAAGTCTAAGAACATTGATAATTACACAAGCTTTACACTCATTGCTACATGTGGTACAAACCTATGTGCAATCAAGCTTTTCTTCTTAATAATAGTTTTCTTTTCATTTTTAGCTTGTTAAATTTTGTATACTTATTTACGGTTAAATATTTAGTAATTTGAAATTATATTTTTATGTGTTAGCAGTTTAACGATGAAACACATTAATAGTTATTTTTTTTCTCTGAATGATTAACTGACAACAATAGTACATTTAATATAATATCGGTTCTTATATCGCTTCTTCTAAAAACTTCTAGAACCGAATCGATATGAGATCAACGGTTCAAGAACTGAACCGATCTCACCCCTACATTTTTCTTCGTAAGACGGCATATAAAATATCACTTTTTATTTATTTATTTTAAATTGAAAAGATAAGTTTATCTTGTGTATCAATATTAATGTAGAACTCCTTGTTCAACTTTATTTATCGTAAAATGATAGGGAAAAAATTCAAAGTTTAATGTTCAAAGCTTGCATACTGACACCATCCTGGTACCCACCTTTCGTCCCGGCCGGTACTAGTCTAGGACTTGTTGGCCGGTTTGTGATCCCGGCTAAATCTTTAATCAGATCTATGCGTACTTGTGATGATCAGTAGAAGACGACTATAAAAGTCCACAGAAATCTTTGGTGAAAAGAAGAGACAAATCAGACAATTGTAGAGAATTAATGTACTAAAAATGAGTTAAAAGTCCATGAGAATCCGTGATTTTAGAAGTCATAAGAATGAACGGAAATTTGAATACACCTAGACTTTTATAGACTTTTAAAAGTTTATATTGAATACACCCAGACTTTTGTAGACTTTTAAAAGCCCACATTGAATACACCTGAACTTTTAAGATCCATGGACTTCTAAAATTTTGCCACTAATTCCTAATACAACACCCCCCCCCCCCCTAAGCCTTGTCTCGATCAAAACAGAGTACCGTCCTCAAGAGTCCCTACTTGAAATCATGAGTGTAACCTTCAATCACGAGCCTTACCTTAAGTCGCTGCCCTTACCATCCGTCACAGGAGATGTATCAACCGCCACTCCAACCAATCCTTTGTTCACCGATCAGAGAACGAGCCAACAAATACCTTGTCACGAGAAATCGGAAACTTGCTCATGACGTGCACTTGTCGTGTGTGCACTCAAAATAATATTCAATACGACACTTATACGTAGTATAGCGTAGTAGAGTTCGTATTCACAGGGAAAGAAATAGTTCTCTTTTTATGTAACTAGTAAATAAAGGGGGGGGGGGGGGGGGGGTTTGATTGAGTGATTTAATTAATTTAAACACGAAGATGAACGAGTTATATGAGATTTAATTCAAAGATAAAAAGGACTTGGCATTGCTACTTTCCACTTGTTGATATATTTTAGTCGATCATTGTTATATCTATAACTTATCTCCTCTCAAATACTCAATCGAGGAGTATATCCAATTCATCGAGGTTAGTTATTAACAACGACCGTTCATTAATAACCCTTACTATTAGTCAAGTATAGAACAACGCCATATACAGACTTGATAGTAGCATTTAATCTCTTAACTCCTTGATGAAATCAATTGAGATTGATAACCTCAACACAACGGTTTCGGTTTAACCAACAAAATTAATCCCTCTTAAGTTTATTAACC